AAAACATGTCCTATAATGTAACAGAAAACTCTTCAGAATTAAAACAACATTTAAAGTAGAAATTCAAATTAATTTTTCCATATGATATAGGGAGAATTTACAATTGTGTTTTTTCAAGATTCAGTAATTAAATAGACAAAACCCTGTAGTTCATGTGTACCATAATAGTTAACACCTGGTTCAACTTCTTGCTGTTTTTATTGGACAGAACATTTATGATCCTGTATTTCTTGAAAAGGGAAAACATGATATAAAATATTGCATGGCATAGGGAAATTATTATAAACCTAGTAGTACTGCTTAAAATATTAAATGCTTACTATGCACATTTAAATAGTCATGTTTCAGTAGTTTGGTAATTATTACTGGCATTTTGTGTTATATGAAAACTGCTTTTGTTAGGGATAATAGATTACTGTATACTGGAATATAAATAATTTATATTCCATCTTCTAATTGCAAAAAATTAACACTAATATTTGTAAGTTAAACAATTTCTCAATCAAGAGTAGCTCATTGCATGGAAGCCTTCATGTTTATTATTAAAAACATGGGCTGTTCATATAGTTACAACACAAGGCTAGGTTAGGCCAATGTGTTACTACTGACCTGGTAAAACTTTTGATTCTAGATAGAGTAGTATGTTGGAGTAGCAGAAAGATAGAATTGTTTTCCTTTTCCACAAGAATAATGTTCATGATGATTAACCCCACCCCAACAGGGAAACTCATGGCTCTAAAGGGGCGTGTGTCTCCAAATAGCCTTTTTTTGATTTTGTTCTTGTTTCCTTGTTTTAAGCCTTCTACAGTAACTCACTCTTTGGATTCCTGGGTCTGCCATTCAAGAATATTCTGAATGAAAGTGGGGTTGACAGTGTTTTTGATTGACATTAGAAATTGTTTACTGTGGGAAGAACATTTGTGGGAAGTAAATTCTAAAGCATTTTTTAGCGACAAGGTAGGTGAGGTAATATCTTTTATTGAACCAACTTCTGTTGGTGGAAAGTACAATCTTTCAGGCTACCCAGAGCTCTTCTTCAGGTCTGGCAAAGGAAATCAGAGTGGCTGAGCTAAATACAAGTTGGGAAAGAGTGTTAAATATAACCGGTAATGCATGTTGTAGGAGGCCACTTGAAAGGAAGTGGGCAGTGAGAGATTAACAATGCAGTATTTAAAGTTGAATTTTATTTCTCAAAAGTTAGGGCATATAAGGGTTACAATTATTTTAGGATTTGCGTAGGCTAGAAAAAGAGGGTAAGATTAGGTTGCAGTGAGCTAACTACTTTCCCCCTATAGACACTAATTAACACTCGTTTGACCATAGGGGTCACTTGGCTGAAACAGTTACAGTTAAGGTTCCAAAAAGTTTCCATTTTACTAGCTTGTTTTAAGAAATTTGTATCTTTCTGGAATACTGCCCTTGCTTGCTTCCTTATAAAGGGTGGGAGGGTCTTTTGAGAGAGAAAGTGTGTTCGAACAAAATCACTTTGTGACTTGTGTAAGTGAACTTTAGTAGCTTTACAGAGTTCATAAACCCTCCAGTGAAGTTTGTAATATATGTAAGATGGATAGGGTCAGGTTTTTTTTTCTTTCCCTTTCCTTTCTCTTAAAATCCTCCCTCTCCACAAAACCAAACAAGGAACCTCTAGAATAATGTTTTGAGCCACAGTTGTGAATATCTTCTATGTGTGATAACCCAGCAGGGAGAATCATGACCAGATCTCTTGATACATAGCAAGCTATTTATTAGAAATAAATTAAAATGTTGTTTTATATATATGATATACACTTGGGGCACCAGAACTATAAGCCACTGTGTTACCCTTCTGCCTCAGCAAGAGAGCTTTGCTGGAACTTTTACTCCCACATCAGTCTCTGTCTGTCTCACCAGTAAACTCCTCCAGACTCTCTTTGTCAGTCTAAACCTTGCCTTGTAGGTAACATTCAGTGAACCCCACTTCCCCAGAGATGTGTCTTTGCAGTGTCCAGTCCCTTTTTCACTGATCGCTCACAGAAATTACCAAGTCTGCTGCCTCCAAAGAGACTGCACACACTAGCCTGTCAGTTTAGCTGAGGGTCCATGTTTTACTTTAATACACGGCCCTGAGATTGTTTGTAGTAAAACTAGGCACAAGATTATTAATGAAGAACATGGATTTAAGTGATACTAAGCAAGAGAAAAAGAGACGGGTATGGTTATAAACAAAAATCACACACTTTCTAGTGTCTAAAATTTAATTTTAGCAGGCTATATTTTTTGGCTTAGCAGCTTTCTTACTTACATTGACCTATCAGCATCTCCAGCTCCTCAGGCAGGAGGATCAACCATTCACAGAATCAGAGGGTGCTGATCCCTGTGTTCCCTCAGTGATGGATAACACAGGAGTCCCCTTTCTTCCATTTGTTTAACCCAGAAAACCTTTGAAATGTATTCTTTGAAAAGTTAACCCAGACAAAATTCCTCTTCCATGCTGCTTGTTCTTCCGGGTGCAGGCACCAAGCCCCTTCTTCATCCTCCGCTCAACTTGCTTTCTGGATTGGCTTGATCCCTTTGTTTGCATAAGATGCAAATGTGCTCTCATTGTCCTTTGCTTGCAATTAAGTCGTGCTGTTTTCTCATCGGCCTGTTAGCTTGATCCCTGCAGAAAGGGAGATGCACATTCCTTTGTCAAGTAGTTTTATCAACTACTTCCACAATATGTTTTAAGAACATATATTTCCAGCACTCAGACCCAACTTTTTATCTGCAGCCATATGTACATCGCATAATGATATTAATGACTGGTGTGTCACCAGTTTACGAATGATACCTTGCAAAACATTGAGTAAATATTCTGACAGTGTGTTGGGTGCGCCCTTTGCCACTTGGCATAAAGGGGCTCTTAGGGTCACAATATATCACCTTTCAAACATATTCTAAATAAATGTATGTGTTGCGTACTGGTGGAGTGTTAACTTACATAGACAAATGTAACACTTCAATAAACTCAACAATACCTCACAGAGACTAAGAAGACAGGAGAGTCATCCATTTCTCCTTCAAAAAATGTCATGCAATCTTCAGCTTCTTCCTCTCCCTGGATGTCAAGGTATTGTACAATGAGCTGTGAATGAAGATCTCATGTGAAGGACCACACCTCTACAATACCACACTCAAATTGTGCACTCTATATCAGCACATGAGCATTTCTAATGTGCTTAATGCTTTCAGTACTAGGTGCTGATGTTAGGTGTGTCTCAATAAATTGAGAAACTTTTCACATCCTTAATCACAAATGAAATAGATTTCAATAGAGTTCAGTTTGTTAGTCTGGGGGAAGTAGTGAGACTAAATTATCTTGTTATTTTGAGACCTGTGACCTGAATTGTTAAAGACATGTGTCTGGTTTATATCTGCAGCGTGGTGTCTTTCTCAACTTGAGATGTTGAAAGAAATACATATAATACAAGTTTCTAATATGTAATATTTTTTTGGATTCGGTTCTCTATCATGTAGTGGGAGAGTATTCTCTGAATACTGAAGAGAGAGATGAAAAATGTTGTAATTTCTCTTCCATAGTAGAAGGGCAGGCTGTCGGAGTATTCAATCTCCATTCTCTATGTGAACAGTACTCACATGAAAAGCAGAATGACCATTTAGAGTTTTTACTGTAACATGTAATGAAGTTTAAGGAGCATGTAGTTCCAGTGGGAATTCCTTCTTAACTAAGTGTTTATGTTTGGGAATAATTAACTTTGTTCTGGAATATCCAGCGTGTTTTAAGTTTTGTGCTAAGTTGTAGCATAAATAAGTCACAAATATATAAAAACCTTTTATATATTGTACCTTGAAATCTGTTAGTGTTAAATAAAAATACTTAATTAAATTGTTTACCTTGGAAATTCACTGTATAAATATAGCTGTTTCATCATTTATTCACAGCACAAATACCATGAATTATGCGTAGGATTCAAAAAGGCTTCTGGTATTTGTGGTGATGCATTGACAGTTAAATGAAGCAGGAAGTACCAAGAGGATTACATAAAGGATAAAAATATTTAAGATAAAAGCTTTTTAAGGTTAGCATTTTAAAAATAGTTAATTGAAAACCAGTTAGTAGTATTGTTGAACATGTTTCAGGGTTTAACTTAATGGTCACTGTTGCTTTGCAGTTCACTACAAATCTTGACCTGTAAACCCTGTGTCTTTCTGGTCCTAGACTTCTTTTGAGCAGAGATGACCAATGAATCAATCACTGTGTTTGCATGATATGAATGATTAGACTGAGGCTACAAAATAAATCTTCACTTTTAAATTAAGAGCCTGAACCCATTCTCATTAGTTTCAATAGGAACTAAATACAGCCCTATGCCAGAACTTGAATCTCAGGCTATGTCTGTACTACAGCCGGGATTGACGCTTTGAGATTGATCCACCAGCAGTCGATTTAGCGGGTCTCGTGAAGACCCGCCAAATCGACAGCAGATCGCTCTTCAGTCGACCCATGTACTCTACCCCCGACAAGAAGAGTAAGGTAAGTCAATGGTTAGTTTCTCCCATCGACCCTCCACGGTAACTTGACCTAAGGTACGTCGACTCCAGCTACGTTATTCGTGTAGGTCGACTTACCGAGGTAGTGTAGACATAGCCTAAGTTTCCAGAGATAATGGACTGCATGAACTCATTGTTCTAGATACTGGTCCCTCTTTATGAAAGCTATTTGCATACAGGGCTTTGGAGCTGTGCTCCGGCTCCGCTCCCGCTCCAGGCAAAAACCTGCTGCTCCGCGCTCCAGCTCCGGGCTCTGCTCCAAAGCCCTGTTTGCATACTAAATAAGAAAAATGAGTAGTTGAAGAGGTTTGGTTATGATTTCACAGTAGTGCAAAATGTTAAAGTGAAATAAATGTGCATGTGTGTGAATTTATATTTCAGTAGTACTCTGTTCAAATAATATTAAAAGTTGGCTGCTGTAAATCTATTTCTTAGATTTATTTTGTTGACAAATGTCATTTTATTTACAGCTGCTGCTGAGGGCAAAGGCAAAAGTGGGGAAGATTTTTTTCAGAAGGTAAGAAACCTTTGTTACAATCCTATGTTTGATAAGTACAGTAATATAGTACATTATGGTTGGAAGAATTATACTTCAAATTATGGTGAAATTGATATTTAGTTTAGAGCGCTCTCTAATGAATATTCTGATGTAACTTCCACAATATTCCTTAATTTCCTAGCCATGGTGATTATTAACATTTTTTTTTATTGTTACCATAGTTTTTTAGTAGAATGTATATTTGGTATCATATGTATAGATTTAATCTCAGTTTATTACAGGGTATGTATCACAAAGTAAACAGTATAGTAAGTTTGACTGTAAATACATTCTTTCAGAGCCCATTATTAGACAGATGTAAATACGTAGTGAGGGGAAGATGAAATTACATGAAGGCCAACAAACAGCAGCAATACAGAAGGCATTGTTTGTCAAGTTGTCTTGAGGAACAGAATTCTCAATATTTTTTTTTATCCTCTTCAATTGAGTTACATCACCCTGAGAGAAGACTACCTAAGTAACTGAACATCATTGCCCCTTTCCTCCCAAATATGCTGTAGAATGTATATTCTCAGATAGTTATGAGGAGTCCTGTTCTGGAAGTAATATTTTTCTTTCTTAAGTCTTTCAAAATGTTCTTGAATTCCAAAACTTTCCATGTCTTTATAGTTCATTTTTATCAGCTGACTTGTTTTTGGGAAGATTTTGCTTTCCATGAAATTAGAGAAACTTCCCAGAGGATGAGACAGCGTGATCTAGAGGTGTGAAACTGGCCTTTGTATTTCATGGGTGAGGACAGGAGAAGATCATACGCTTTCCTTTCAGGGTCAATAATCTTTAGAGCTAGGTGAATTCGGTCATGTCTTCATAGAATCATAGAATATCAGGGTTGGAAGGGACCTCAAGAGGTCATCTAGTCCAACCCCCTGCTCAAAGCAGGACCAATTCCCAACTAAATCATCCCAGCCAGGGCTTTGTCAAGCCGGGCCTTAAAAACCTCCAAGGAAGGAGACTCCACCACCTCCATAGGTAACGCATTCCAGTGCTTCACCACCCTCCTAGTGAAATAGTGTTTCCTAATATCCAACCTGGACCTCCCCCACTGCAACTTGAGACCATTGCTCCTTGTTCTGTCATCTGCCACCACTGAGAACAGCCGAGCTCCATCCTCTTTGGAACCCCCCTTCAGGTAGTTGAAGGCTGCTATCAAATCCCCCCTCATTCTTCTCTTCTGGAGACTAAACAATCCCAGTTCCCTCAGCCTCTCCTCATAAGTCATGCGCTCCAGACTCCTAATCATTTTTGTTGCCCTCCGCTGGACTCTTTCCAATTTTTCCACATCCTTCTTGTAGTGTGGGGCCCAAAACTGGACACAGTATTCCAGATGAGGCCTCACCAATGTCGAATAAAGGGGAACGATCACGTTCCTCGATCTGCTGGCAATGCCCCTACTTATACAGCCCAAAATGCCGTTAGCCTTCTTGGCAACAAGAGCACACTGTTGACTCATATCCAGCTTCTCGTCCACTGTGACCCCTAGGTCCTTTTCTGCAGAACTGCTACCTAGCCATTCGGTCCCTAGTCTGTAGCAGTGCATGGGATTCTTCCGTCCTAAGTGCAGGACTCTGCACTTATCCTTGTTGAACCTCATCAGGTTTTTTTTGGCCCAATCCTCTAATTTGTCTAGGTCCCTCTGTATCCGATCCCTACCCTCTAGTGTATCTACCACGCCTCCTAGTTTAGTGTCATCTGCAAACTTGCTGAGAGTGCAGTCCACACCATCCTCCAGATCATTAATAAAGATATTAAACAAAACCGGCCCCAGGACCGACCCTTGGGGCACTCCGCTTGAAACCGGCTGCCAACTAGACATGGAGCCATTGATCACTGCCCGTTGAGCCCGACGATCTAGCCAGCTTTCTATCCACCTTACAGTCCATTCATCCAGCCCACACTTCTTTAACTTGGCGGCAAGAATACTGTGGGAGACTGTATAAAAGCTTTGCTAAAGTGAAGGAATAACACATCCACTGCTTTCCCCTCATCCACAGAGCCAGTTATCTCATCATAGAAGGCAATTAGGTTAGTTAGGCACGACTTCCCCTTGGTGAATCCATGCTGACTGTTCCTGATCACTTTCCTCTCCTCTAAGTGTTTCATAATTGATTCCTTGAGGACCTGTTTCATGATTTTTCCAGGGACTGAGGTGAGGCTGACTGGCCTGTAGTTCCCCGGATCCTCCTTCTTCCCTTTTTTAACTGCCTTGAACTGGCAGCATGACCCCCCTGAGTGATAATCATGTGAGATATCTTCAAAGAAACAAAATTACAGATAAATATTTTTCCTTGTTACTGTCACACTCAGTCCAGCTCTTTAAGTGTCATGAACAAAAGGTATAACTGAACATCCATGAAATGGCAACAATTATTCTGAATATTCAAAGGACGAAATCTTGGCCCATCTGAGGCCAGTGGGAGTTTTGCCACTGACTTCTTCAATGGGGCCAGGATTTGTTAGACCTTTCACATGCCTTTGGTTTCTGTAATATTGCATGAAACAGCGATGGTCCATCTAAGTATTGAACAAAATAGGTGACTGGAGACCTGCATAGCAGACTTTTTTCTTTATTGTCACTTGAATGGTTGTGTGTTTGATCATTTGTATCAACGTGTCCTCTCCAGCTACTCCAGATTTAAATGTTTCTATCCAGATTGAACAATGTTCTGGCTTGTTATATAAAACATACTATACATTATTACCATAATCTATTTTATAATACTAGAGGTTTATTAGATGATGTTGTGAAGTCTAACGTGTTAAGGGTTTTTTTTTTTTTTTTTTAAGTTGCATTAGTAGTGTTAGACTAGTATAATGCTTCACTGCAGTTTCAAACATTGACAGGACTTGGAACTTAGATTCTAGGATGATTGAGAACAAGTTTTCTTCTAAGATATGTTGAGCGTCTCTAAGAAGGAAATTTGCATGTCTCACAGTGAAGGCGTGTGGTTAGACAGTTGCTGAGACACCATAGAAGATTAAAAAAACTCTCTGACAGCATTTGAACCACAAAGAGAAGAAAAATGAGTAGCAAATGAATGTTAAAGTGAGTTATGCAAATACTTTTTCAAGACCAGTTGTAGATAGTTTTATGGATGTTATTTTAATTGAGGTCTATATGTCCTGATGCTTTTAGGTTCAGTTTGCTGTGTACTCTGACACTACTTGTTCTCTACAGTACAGACAAACAGTCTTTGATTGGGAAATTGCTTGGAACTTGTTTAGTCCATGATGTTTTTTTTTTATACAACCAGTTGATATATAAATATTCTATGATTTCTTGGTTCTACCTGATTAATAAATATACCAGAACTTGATGCTCTTGCTGAGAAGTTAGCGAATGATAGATTCAAGAAATGGGTTTATTTGTTTTAGGAGTGAAAATTACTGGACAGCAACAAAAGATTAATAGTGGCTTAATCTTTTATTTACAGATTCCATGCATACACAAGCTTTGATCAGAAATGGGTTTTAACCTTAATACTAGTACAGTCTAGACTTATCCTCTCATGCCTACTTTTTATTCATAGATTGGAAGATGAAAACAAGCTTTTCTGTACTTTTAACTACTAGTTGCTTCCTTAACTTTGTATGAACTAACTTGAATGAACAGTCATTGAACTGAACTAGTTAAATAAACCGAAATAAAGAAAATATCCTCCCTGCACATGCAGAAAAGACTACTGCTCTCAAAAGCTGTTTTAGCACTTCAACAATCTCTGGTTCCAGGGAGAGATGACTGTGCCTGCTGATAGTTGGTGGCGGGGGACAGTGTGAGGGTAGCCAGCTTCAGCAGTGTTACTGGGCATACTCAGTCCATGTGAGCATGCTCAGTAAAAGCCAAGGGGCATGTGACCCCAACGCATCACCTCTGCTTCCAGTCATTTCCAACATTTTAGTGGTTTGACTGTCTGTATAACTTCAGCAGCAAACATGTACTGCCTAATCATAGAATCATAGAATATCAGGGTTGGAAGGGACCTCAGGAGGTTATCTAGTCCAACCCCCTGCTCAAAGCAGGACTTATCCCAGACAGATTTTTGCCCTAGATCCCTAAATGGCCCCCTCGAGGATTGAACTCACAACCCTGGGTTTAGCAGGTCAATGCTCAAATCACTGAGCTATCCCTCCCCCCATAGACAGTATTAATATTGCTCTTTTAATTTAATTTAAATGATTTTAATAGATTATAGTAAATTTAGGCCTTAATATAGCTTTTCACCATTTCATATTTTAATTTTGAATAGGTTCATTTTTAAATATAAACTTGTATTTAATTTATATTAAAAAAATCTGTTTTATTAAATACAATTATCAATTTTTATTCACACTGAGCAGCAGCTTCTGCAGAATCCCTTTGCAGTATGCTGATTGATTCCATAAAGCTGCTATCTAGAATTAATTTCTTAACTTTACAAAAGTATTCTTTTGAGTCCAGATCAGATTGGATTTTCCATGCAGGGAAGCAGTACATTTGTTCACTTTTCAATTAGTAGTAATTCCCCTAGGCCTCCTTGTCATTGCTAGCTAGTTTCTTTTGTGGGAGGCTGTAAAGACAATATCATAAAGGTGAAAAGAGGTAGGTTACTGAAGTAAGTTCTGTTCTCTACATGTATTATTACCTTTATGGATACCTATTGATGTGATCTTTTGCCCTGGAACTATAAAGGCTGTGTCAGGGTTATAAAGGATCCAAGGGACAGTTGGCGAATAAGGACTTCTATTCACATGGTTCTAGAATGGAGGACCTCGTCATGCTTCCACAATGCATGCTTTGAAATCATTCCATGGTAGGGCATGTGATCTTAGTATGGATCTGTGAAGGCAATACATTTGGAGAAAGCAAGTTACCTCAGTAACTCTTCTCTCCCCCCCCCCCTTCATTATATTGCATTTGCAGATACACATTTTGTTTTATCTGAATGGCACATTTTCCATGAGAGACAAGGTGGATGATGCAA